ACGGGATCATTTTATTTACCTCGTCCGAGACCAAATGTCCCTGGGTACCGTCTGTGCTTATACCATAGAATGAAGGTACACACGCCGTTGCTCTCTGGAAGGGCCTTGACGGAGGCTTCACTTATTTCAACAGTTGCGGGAGTCTTCCCCCAAGTCACGTTATGGACGCGGTCCAACGATCATTCGGGGGCAAGATCACCTACAACACGGGACGGATGCAAGGTGTCGGTGTTAACACCTGTCTGAATTACTGTCTGGCCTTTTTGTATTACGCCTCCGAGCACATCGACGTTCACTCAGAGGACTTGTTCGACGCCTTCAGGTCCTTTATGGGGACCCAATCGGATGCGAAGGCGTTTCGCATTGTACAAGATATGCTGAGAGAAGCGGGTATGAAACACGAATTAAACTACAGCAGCGGTTACTCACGACTGCTCGACTATATCCGGCCATCGCTCGATCGGACAAACAATACTCGTCCGATGAAACGGCGACGAAGCCTGATCAGTAGAGAAAACACAACGGGTAGTGAACACAACAGGTAGTGAGCACAACAGGTAGTGAGCACAACAGGCAGTGAGCACAACAGGTAGTGAGCACAACAGGTAGTGAGCACAACAGGCAGTGAGCACAACAGGTAGTGACACAACAGGCAGTGAACAACAGGCAGGAATAACAGGTAGTGGAGCAGCCAACAGGTAGTGAACACACCAGGTAATGAGCACAACAGGTAGTGAGCACAACAGGTAGTGAACACAACAGGTAGTGAGCACGACAGGTAGTGAACACAACAGGTAGTGAGCACAACAGGTAGTGAACACAGCAACAGCCGTGTGGGTCGTCGACGATAAAAGGTGTTTGTTAGAGGTCCGTCTCTCCTCCTGCACACTACTCTCACGTCCAGTACCGAGAGAGAGAGAGAGAGAGAGAGAGAGAGAGAGAGAGAGGCACACACACACACAGATTATTATGTCACCTTAATATAACACAACAACAAAATGTATAAAAATAAAAAATAAATATCTGTATAATCTTTCCATAAAAAGGAATAAAAAAATATATATATATACATATATATATATATATATATATATATATATATATATATATATATATATATATATATATATATATATATATATATATTACCCAAAAAAGTTTTTGAAAAAATCACTGATAAATAAATAAATACAGCACATAAATAAATAAATAAATCCTCTACAAAACATCACAATCAATTAAAATGAATAACAAACTTCGAAGAGAAAAGGAAGAAAGAATTGGTGTAAGGAAAGAAGGACGGAAGGAGGAACCACAAAGAAAGAGACTGAAAGAAGTGAGGGAGGCAGCGTACCATCACAAGCCAAGAGGGGGGTGGTGTGAGGGATGGGGGTGAGGGCAAGGGAAAGTGGGCTCACAGAACCTCTAAATCAAGGGATATGAGCGAGGTCAACATTATGTATGGTGTAGCCGCCCTAGTGGTGGTGGTGGTGGTGGTGATAGTGGTGTGGTGGTGGTGGGTGGTGGGTGAGGGTGGTGGTGGTGGTGTGTGGTGGTGGTGGTGGTGTGGTGGTGGTGGTGTGGTGTGGTGGTGATTGTGGTGGTGGTGGTGGTGGTGTGGTGGTGGTGGTGGTGGTGGTGATAGTGGTGGTTGTGGTGGTGGTGGTGGTGGTGGTGGTGATAGTGGTGGTGGTGGTGGTTGTGGTGGTGGTGGTGGTTGTGGTGGTGGTGGTGGTGGTGCATACATACATACATACATACATACATACATACATGTATATAGATACACGCACCTAAGAAGAATAAACATTTAAAATCCCATCAACCAATTAATTCTTCCCATGAAGACTTTCGACCTGTCTTCATTTTACCCCAGGATGAACAGACTACGATACAGAAGCTTAACCCAACACCAATTACTCACTTACATCATCCTGGGGTAAAAAATAAATATATAAATAATAAATAAATAAAAATAAATATAAATGAATAAATAAATGAATAAATTAATAAATAAAAATGTATAAAAAATAATATATAAATGAGTAAATAAATAAATAAATAAAAATAATAAATTAATCACCTGAGGGTTAAAACATCGTACCCAAAAATTATATAGTTTATGAGGGGGTGGGGGTGGGGGGTGGGGGGTTAAAACAAACTACCGTGTGACGTAATCTGAGGTAGTTTAATCCCTTGAGATAATCTGGTTGTTAATTTATTCAGAGACTGATAGTATTAAAAGGATTATGTAGAGAGAGAGAGAGAGAGAGAGAGAGAGAGAGAGAGAGAGAGAGAGGCCTTATCTCTGTATCACACTGTATTACTCCCGGGAATATAAAGTCCAATTTGCATCTATTTATTTACTGAACATAAGACTCTGGCGCGTGTGTGTGCGTATGTATGTATGTATGTATGCATGTATGTATGTATGTATGTATGTATGTATGTATGTACGAGTGTTATGCATCACAGAGATATGACAGTGCAGGAATTATTATGTGTTAAAGCAGACTTGGTCTTGCCTTTGTTGCTAGTGGTGGCAGTGGTAGTGGTGGTGAGGGTGGTGATGGTGGTAGTGTTGGTAGTAGTGGTGGAGGTGGTAATGATGTTGGTAGTGGTGGTGTTGATGGATATATAGATAGATAGATAGATAGATAGATAGATAGATAGATAGAAAATAGTAGTAGTAGTAGTAGTAGTAGTAGTAGTCAACAATAACATAGAGTAACATAATAAAACTCAAAGGTAACTATAAACAGCATTAAAAAAACTTGGTTAAAGTCACCTGTATCTAAAACTAATCAACAACAGTACATTAAACATCAAAGCTCCGTAACAAATGTTTCTCTTCGTACTCTAAAAGTCATGAATATTAACGATAAAAAACATAAATACCTCATTAAACATATATTAAAAAAACACATAAATATGTGTGTGTGTGTGTGTGTGTGTGTGTGTGTGTGTGTGTCTACCTCTCTGTGTTTGTATGTCTGTATGTGTGTGTATGTATCTGTCTGTCTCTCTGTCTGTCTCTGTTTTTTTTCACTGGTTGAGGATAATCATAATTTTCCCCCAATTAAAATTAATGAGGAAAAAATAATGGAAACGTTGCCTGTTTGTCCAATTTCCATCCCTGTGAGATTAAGAGTTTATTAAAATCCCGACCTATTATAATTAAACAACTATGCTGTTTATTTATGGTCCATCCTCTACTTTCCTCTGTATGATTCGCTAATCCTCATCGTATGATTCATAATGATTAGTATATTAAATTCCAATATGACCTCTCTCTTGAAGATTCGCTAATCCCAGTCCACGATATATATAACGGCTTATATATTGAGTAAAGCTCGTTATATAGATGTGAAACGCCCATCTAACGAACTATATATACTGATAAAAGTTCGTTATATAGAGTGTCCGTTAATTATCATACCCACGCATAACGGATTATACATACAGAGAAGTTCGGTGTATAGAAAGTTCTCTGTAATATAATATTTTAACGCAACAAGACAGAGAAACGCGACAGACTGTAGGGTATCAACACACCGCGGCGGGCCGGGTGAGAAAGTCTACGGTGTTTGCTACCCACGTTTCACTACCTCTGCCTCTTTCAGTCTCTACTATTAAACACTCTTTACTCTACTCTACTCTACTCTACTCTACTCTACTTTACTCTACACAATATATTATGTACGTTTATCTTATCTCTAACTGCTATATTTACACTCATATATAAACTTAATCATATCACACAACTTTATACAGACACAAAAACAAAACACAATCGCCTCCTCTCTTGATCCCTCTCTCATACACACAGAGGGAGTGGGATAATACCTTCTTTCACCCCCTTTCCCCCTTCCTCCTTCCTCCTGCCCTCTCCCACCCCCAATTCATTCTTTAACTGCTTTATGGACACCAATTACACCACTCAGCCTCTCGTTGAAATAATGTTACAAGCTTACTGGTGTCATCACTGTAGTTATAGTCAACCAAATTTTTACGGACCAGTGTGTGTGTGTGTGTGTGTGTGTGTGTGTTATTTATTGACTTGTATATATATTTTAATTCCTATTTATATGTTCTCTTGACGGAATGTGTTTTACTTTAAAAAGGTAAATAGACAAGAGATAAATAATAATAATAATAATAATAATAATAATAATAATAATAATAATAAAAACAATAACAATAATAATGAACAAACACATAAATTAATAGAACATAGCAAAAAAAGCGCGAACATACATACAATTAAACACACACACACACACACACACACACATCAGCATTAACCTGAGACACCTCCAGCCTCCTCAACAAACAATAACAATCAGTTCAACACAGGTAATTGGATCAGCGTATGAAGGTATCCCGGCACAGGTAATGGTTACGCTGTACGAGGTGATTACGACAGGTATCTTAGTGGCACAGGTGAGGTCTTAGTGCACGGTAGTAGGTGGTAGGAGTCAAGGTGTTTAATTATCAGGTGAAATAATTTAATAATCTGGAGTTAATTATTAGGTGAAATAATCTGGAGTTTATTATCAGGTGATAACTTTGTTATTGAAAATAATTTTTATTTTTCCAGTTTTGTGATGGATGTATTTGTCGTCATTACTCACTACCTTCTTCTTTCCAGACTTATTCCTGAATGTTCCAGGTTCATAAGATTTCATTAACTCTCTTCCACCCCCGACCTCAGAATGTTTTAGTTTTCCGGGACCCTCCAAACATTCAGTAATATTGACTTTTTTCTTCCAGAGAAGTTCCAGGAAACTCCAGATTCATCAAGAGTCCCACAAGATCCTTAATCATGATTCATCTTCTTCATTCCAGGAAGTTCCAGCTTTATTACTTCTATTGACACAGACCTTATTCATTCCAGGCAAGTTCCAGGAAGTTCCAGCTTTATTACTTCACCATTCCAGATAAGTTTCAGAAAGTTCCACCTTTATTACCTCTACTGATACTGACCTTCCTTATTCCAGACAAGTTCCAGGAAGTTCCAGTGCCCCGGCCGGAAGTATGCACGACCCCGGAGTGCTTAAGGGCTGCTTCCCGCCTGCTGGATCGCATGGACCGGACAGTTTCCCCCTGCAGTGACTTCTACCAATTCGCCTGCGGGAATTACCTGCACGAGAACGTTGTACCTGACGATGCCCTCTACCGCTCAGCCATGCAGGAGATGCAGGAAGATGTCCTCGTTATTATTAAAAGTGAGTCATGGGTCTACGTGTTCCTGTGGAGGGGGGACATGAATATCGCCTTGTGTAAATGGAGGTTATGAAATAGGTGCTCTCTCTCTCTCTCTCTCTGTCTCTCTCTCTTCTCAAATTTCCCCTGAGAGTTCAACCCGACTTTAACTCAGTTCCAAAATTTCTTCAAAACTCATAACCAGACTTTTAAATAAATCCTCAAGAGATTTTTTTTTAAACGCGAAAATCCTGGTAATATTTTTTGTCTTAACTCCGAAAGGGTTGACAACAGCTTAACTAGTGTCGTGTTAATTGAGTAAAACTGCGTGATTAAAGCGGTTTTCTTGATCTTGTTACTCTTTGGGGTGTCAAGAAAATGGAATAAACGACACGAAAATAAATGGCACTCTCTCTCTCGTGTGTGTGTGTGTGTGTGTGTGTGTAAGAAGATATCAAACACCAACGACAACAAACCAAACCACTACGATATATGTAAACATGTACTACAGAAAACGGCAGAGTTCCAGCTATAACTCTATCAATTTACAACTGCATTAAAGTCTAGAAGCAATCAAGACCCCGAGGGCAAGACTCGACCTTAAGGCGGGGTAATACGAGGCGGGGGAGCATCAGGCGGGGGAACACCAAGCGGGGAGCACCAGGCGGGGGAACACCAGGCGGGGTGAACACCGGGGGGAGCACCAGGCGGGAGCACAGGCGGGGGAACACAAGCGGAGGAGCACCAGGCACGGGGGAGCACCAGGCGGGGGAACACAAGGCGGGGGAGCACCAGGCGGGGGAACACAAGGCGGGGAACACCAGGCGGAGGAGCACCAGGTGGGGGGAACACGAGTCAGCTGATGCCATAAAACCCATTTAAGTGTTACTGAGGAAGGCAATAAGTGTTTACTTGGCACTTTATGAGCCAAATAAGTATCTGCTTCCGACCACAGAACGGCACCTTAGCTACTAATGAACTTATACGCATTAGCAGAGTAAAGGTTTGGGAGCCTTGCTAACTGTGTGTGTGTGGAGGCTGTCTCTTAATGCTGCTTCTTCGGGTGTGGTGATAACAGTAATGATGTAATGATACGTAATGGCCTTATACTACTACTACTACTACTACTACTAATAATAATAATAATAATAATAATAATAATAATAATAAAAACAACTCACTTTCAAAACTTTCAAGTGACTTACATTCCTCCCCCTCCACCTCTTGAGACCTGCTGAATTTGCCACAGCTAACTTAACTTCATAACTTACAAACTTAAATCCCCAAAAAAACCCGCTGGATTCGCCACACTAAACTTAAATTACTTATAAAATCTACTACTTCAATATACTTTACTAATCCTGCCCCCCCTCTCCACTTGTGTCCCACCTCTCACAGAAATGCTGGATTTGCCTCACGGGGACAACGACACAGATGCCTTCGGTAAAGCCAAGAGACTCTACCATTCCTGTATGAACACGAGTAAGTACTTAAGTAACACCTGTTAAGTAATCGATACACCTGTTGAATGTATTAAAGTAACACCTGTTTAGTACTTAAGTAACACCTGTTAAGTAATCGATACACCTTGTGAATGTATTAAAGTAACACCTGTTTAGTACTTAAGTAACACCTGTTAAGTAATCGATACACCTGTTGAATGTATTAAAGTAACACCTGTTTAGTACTTAAGTAACACCTGTTAAGTTATCAGGGACAGACAGACAGAATGACAGACGGGGCGAGATAGAAAAAGACTCACTTGACAGACAGACAGAGAAACAGAAAAACAAGCAAAAGAGACAGAATAGCAGACATCAGTGACAGACAGACAGATAGATAGACAGATAGATAGACAGATAGAAAGACAGACAGACAGAGAAAGTAACACGTGAACATGTCCGTCCCAGGTGTGTCATTCATTAGTGTGATAAAAAGTAATTACCTGCAGCTTAATGAGGGATACTCTGGCTAATGAGGTTATTAGCTGCTCTCTCTCTCTCTCTCTCTCTCTCTCTCTCTCTCTCTCTCTCCTATTTCACCCATCGTCCTTCCACATTACTTGCAATAAATCCTCCGCTTCCTCCTTCCCCTCCCCCCCGCCCCCCACCAGGAAGAGTGGAGCCGTTCCTCTAGCATCAGGAAGACACAGGAAGAGAGAGAGAGAGAGAGAGAGAGAGAGAGAGAGAGAGAGAGAGCAGATGAAAGGTGAGTGGACAAGCTCTATATGTCTGGAGACGACGGGAGGCTGATGGTGTGTGTGTGTGTGTGTGTGTGTGTGTGTGTGTGTGTGTGTGTAATTTGCAATGATTTCGGCAATAATGAGGAGAAGTCGACCTTTTAATTTCTTTGTAATTTCTTGGCTGATTGCAGTTGCTAATCTGCTTTTGTTTATCCTCATGTCTTCTCGCTTTATTTACTTTTATTTTATAATTTCTAGTTTATTTTGTGTCCTATTTTTTAGGTTGGTTAGGTTAGGTTAGGTTAGGTTAGGTTTGGTTAGGTTAGGTTAGGTTAGGTTAGGTTAGGTTTGGTTAGTCTTTAGTAGATGTAAATGAAATGAAAACAGAAATGAATGAATAAATGATTAAATAGTTAATCCGATATAGTTTATTAGATACTGTAGTTCCGATTAAATCCTTTGGTTCAGATATATCATACCGTATAATCCGATTAAACACCGTAGTTTATCCGATTAAACTCATAAATCGGTAACTTTGATATCCGTGAGATCTGCTTAATCCCCTCCCCCCGCCAGTCGATTAAATTCCTTCAGTACGATTCGATTTTTTCAAGATCCGATTAAATCCTCCAGTAAACCGATTAGCTCCCCTGAGATGTCAATAAAGAACCCACAAGTGCGATTACAGGTGTTGCCTTCTTAACTCTTAATAAGTCTCCAAGAAAGTAATTAGATCCCTTACACCTCAAACCCACCCTCTACCTCCCACCTCCCCACACACCCACCCACCACCTCACCTCCCCCGAACCCTAACCCTCAACTCCCAACACCCTCAAGCCTGATTTGGACGCTTCAAGGCTCCATTAAACGCCTGGAAGACCGATTACACACACCACTACCTCCACCTCTCTCACACACCCCATCAAAATTAATCAGAGTAAGAAACATGGGTATAGTAGACCCCGGCTGAGTGAACCATACCGTGTGTGTGTGTGTGTGTCTGAGAGAGTCAAGTAGCTCCAAGAATGCCTGAGTTGATTGGATTACTGAGTGACTGATACTACTACTACTACTATTACTACTATTACTACTACTACTCCTACTACATAAACAAGATAGAAACACATGATATTCGGTCTTCAATTATATTAAAAGAAAAAAAAGAGCCTCCTTCAGGCGTCTCTGATCACCATGACAACAACACGTCAGCAAGAGAGAGGCCATATTGAATCCGGATTCTTTAAGTTGATTCACGAACGTAAACACTCACTCAAACCTGATTATCTAAGTGTTTATGCGTCAATATTTTATCCTAGCTGTAGAAACGGGGACTTAATCAACATAAGTCTTTTCTAAGTTACGATACAGTGATGGATTCTCAAAAGCTTTCGTAAGTTATTGTTTTTTCCCTTAACGTGTAGTTATGAAAACGTATCTAACTGGCTCTCTATAGTGAAGGGTTATAGTGTGGGGTTACGTGTACTATATACAGTATTACTTGTGGACGATACATAACAGCGACATAGAGAAGACGAGTAAGTATGGGGGCGAGTTACTCACCTCCAAACACCTCACTCCACCTACCTAACACGTCATCTTCCTCCTTCAGGCTTTACCGTGCACGAGAAGGACATGGCAGACTCGCCTATCTTCAACCTCCTGACGGCGGAGCAGCTGGGGCAATGGCCGATGTTGTCTCCTGACGGCTGGGACGAGAGTCAGTACAACTTGGAGCGGCTGTTGGCTCAGCTCACACTCTACCAGGTCCACACCTTCCTTGAGTCTTACATCACTCCTGACGAGAGGAACTCCAGTGTGTACACGCTGCAGGTGGGTGGTGGTGGGTGGGTGGGTGGGTGGTTGGGCGGGTGGTGAGTAGTGATGGTAAGAGCTTTACTCCTCAAAAAGCTTTCTCAGTCCACCTTACCATTACCTTCTCCTCCTCTTTCACCTGTTCACAGTTTTTTCCTCCCTGTTCTTCACGTCATTATCCCCGTGTTCACTTTCCTCCCTGTTCTTCACGTCATTGTCCTCGTGCTCAACCTTCCTCCCTGTTCTTCACGTCATTATCCCCGTGTTCACTTTTCCTCCCTGTTCTTCACATCATTATCCCCGTGTTCACTTTTACTCCCTGTTCTTCACATCATTATCCCCGTGTTCACAGTTCTTCAAGGGGACACCGGCGCTGGCGAGGAATTACTACTTGAACTCGTCCAATGAGGAGTACGCCGGGTATATGTCCGCCTACCGCGCCTTGATGGAGGAGACGGCCCTCGACCTGTCATCAGGCCTCGCCCTCAACACCTCCCACGTCGACGAGTTGATAGCCTTCGAGACCAAGTTTGCCATGGTGAGTAAGAGAGAGAGAGAGAGAGAGAGAGAGAGGAGGGGAGTTAGGTTAGGTTTAGGTTAGATAAGGTTAGAGTAATGGGCGTGAAGTAGAGGTGTTAGAGTGGTGGGCGGCTTGAAAGGTATAGGTGAGAGTAGCGGAAATGAGGCATAGGGGTGAGAGGTTAGAGAGGGAGGAGGAGGAGGAAGAGTGGAAGTGATAACGAGAGAGGGAAATGGCCCTGAGGAGTGATGAGAATGGAGACAGGGAGAGGAAAGGAAGAGGAGTGGAGTGGAGAGGAAGGGGAGGTTGGAGAGAGAGTGGGAAGGGAGGGAGAGGAGGAGAAAGAAAGTGAGAAGAAAGGAATAAGGAGGAAAGAAGAGTTGGAAGGAAGGGAGAAAGGGAAACAGAAGAGAAAAATGGTAGGAAGAAAGGAGAAAAATGGAAGAGAAATTGAAAGAGAGGAGGAGGCGAAGAAGAGAGGGAGGGGGAGAATGATCAGAAGGAATAAGGTAAGATGTCGAGAAGGTTCTGTTGAAAGGAGTTTTTGGAGAGTGTAAACCAGCAGCCCATCAGAAGATAATGTGCCTGTGTTTCCCATGGTAACGCTCCAATGGCCGTCCTATTAAAATTCAGTGACTATAATATAGAATTTAATGTGGAAACGGGGAGCGATATAGCCAATAAACATATTTTGAAAAAAGATTTAATGACTAGTTTTCAATTTATTCTGCGTGCAATTTCTGTACAAACGCGTACTGACTCAAAAAGCATATTTACTACTGAATAAACATCCGGACATGCAACACAGCAGCTGAAGTGGCTCCCCCGTTTTTAAATTCCCGACAAAAAAATCGCTTTATAATTAAAACTTAGCATGGAAATTCACCATAAAACGATGGAAATGCTTTTCTATATACTGGTGGGATCAGTATTGAAGGAGATTACGCATTTTACTCCCCTAGATTTCTCTTTAATTTTTAATCTTTGTTGTTTGACGCACCCAGCCTGAGTGACTATACAGGGCTTTAACTTGTAGCACGTTAGGTGGCGGTATGATACACTCACAGAATGATATATTTCCAGTGTATGTCCGGGTGTGTCTGTTGATAATGTTATAAGATTTAAGATTCTCTATTGAATATTGATTTTATAAATTATTGAAAAACATGTGTAATATATCCATGGTAGTCAGAAACCACAAATGGAGTTTTTTTAGGCCGCTTGTCTCTCCCCTTTAAATTGGTGTTGTTTGTAAACATAGCTGACGAAACCAGAATTAAAAATCAGCTTGTATGATTTTTATAAAGAGTTGATGCATTATTTAACTGTTGCTAATTAATTAATGTAGAACAGCAACTTTTTTCATATTTTATATTACTTTATCTATTTATATATCTAATCTGTATGTCATTATTTACCTATGATTAATTACTTATATTTAATTACCTCTTTAATAATTATATGTATTGAATTACATGCCTATATGTAATTACTTACCTATATTTAATTACATTTATTGAATTTCTTACCTACAGTATATGTAATTACTTGTCGAATTTAATTACTTACATATATTTAATTACTTATCTAAATTTATTCAGAGGTTACCAAGTACAGGTAGGCCTACACAGTGAATAAGACAGAAATATATTATCTAATGGTAAAGAATAAAGAGCTAGATGTCAATTCATTTCCGGGATTTTTTAATTTTTTTTAACGAGAACTTTCCCGACTGCCGTGTTTGTTTTAATATTCAAGTATACACAGAATGCAAATGTAACGGAAGAGGAAACAAAAATGCACAAGTGTGAACGTTGGAAAAATAGCATCTTAGAATATTCATAGGAAGCGTTTAGCGTCGTCTGTTTTTAGTTTATGTCAAGAGGGTCATGGGGTAAAACCATTCCAGGAAATTGTGGATGGGAAATGGTCCAAACCTAATCATAACCTAGTGAGGAAATGGGTAATAGCCTTTGTTACGAGTTGGGGATTTAGAATATAATTAAAAGTCTACCCAGATCCCAACAGGCAACAACAATAAAAAAAACAAAGACAATCGGACTCTAAAAGGGTAGACAAAGGATGCGAGTTTTTGTTGTGTATAATAAAGTACCATAAATTCCTTAACAAAATATTCAGCTTTCTATAATTTACCCTTAACCAAACTTAACCTAAACATTAACAGTATATACATATTTATACAACATAAAATAATTTGAAGCAAGGTGGAGGTGGGAGGTTACATAAGATTACAAATACCTAAGTGCGGAGCTGAGATGGCTGACGAGTAAGGCTGAGTATTGTAGAAGACGGTAGGTAGTCACTGTGCCGTAGGTTTCCACGATAGGTGATCCTGTGGTCACTTCCCAGAGTAAACTGAACTCTCATCAAACTGGAGATGACGAAGAAGACTTGTAGGAGGTGACCAACAACCAGGATATGGAGAAGGGAAACCCTGGAGTGGTAACTAAGACGAGTCATACTCGTGTTTCGTCCCTAGATGGCGTTGCTCGTGGTGCTGGGTAGGTAGATCATGACAATAGATGGCGTGGTTCGTAACAACCTTATCCACCTCAAGAATGTAAATATACGGTACTTTTCTTCTTTTTTCCTCCTTCAGCAAAACACTATTTCTAACACTTAAATCCAACCAACCAAACTGATCTAATCTAATCAAATCTAACTTGACTAGAAGATATTCCAGGATTATCAAGTCAGGCTAGGTCAAGTTAGGTTCGGTTAGGTTAGGATTGATCAGTTTATGTCATCTTTGATAATAATCAGTTTTAATGTTACCGTCTCGCAGCTGCCATTGGTGAACGAGTAGTTCATGATCCTCTTTTGTTTTATGTCGTAAAGTATTATGAACAATATCTTGGTAACTGTTAAAGAATAATTATAATAAGATCCTGAAAAACGTAATCTATTTAAACTGAAAATTTCAAAATACTTATATATTTTGCTATAGTCTTCAAATATAATGGAAGAATTAAAATATTGTGCTGTGGAATGAAAAATTTAATAAACAAATAAAAAAAAATAGATTAAAACTGAAATTGACTTAAGTGTTTAAAATAGTTTTTAATGTCCTATGCAGTGTTGGGAAAGTTGGCGGTTCGTGGTAATTCTTCTTGAACCACAGAACACATTACGCAGGGTTTATGCAGGAGTTTTGGGTTTAAGAATTTGTCAGAAGAAAACCACAGAAAAACTAAATTATGTAAATTGTATTTCCCCGGGCGGTGGATATGAGCTAATCTCACGGTTGGTGTGGGAAAACTTGCATACTGTATAATATATCTGCCAAATAGCGTGTATCCATGTGTAAGAACAATAAAATAGTACAGGTGCAATATTAAGGTTAGTTCTGCTATTAAATATCTTATTTTTAGAAACTTCACTGACATTTTTTTTTTTCAATCTGTAAATCCAGGAAAAATTTATGGTATTTTTTTGTCACTGTATCTTTTGTGATGTTGAGGTGGGAGGGATAAAAGGTAATGCAAATATTTAATTGTCACTGATAAATGCAGCTTAAGTTATGTTTGGGCAGCAGCTACAGTACAAGCCCCTCCATCTCACCAAAAACAAATCATCATTTAGATTTTATTTGACCTAATTATAGAACATTGCTGAAAAACTGTAATGTATTCATATTGTTAGTGCTGTTCCTGCTTATTATATATCAGACAGTATGTTGATGACTTGTTATACTATATATAGCAGGTAATTTAGTTAATTTACTGGGGGTATAAAGCAGTTGTATGTTGGCAGTTGATGTACAGTAAACATACACTTTACTCTGGCTTGGAAATAACTTGGCCCCATCTATCAGTGGAAAATTAGAATACATTTTTGCTACTTCCTCTGCAACTACTGTACCTAAGAAAGATTAAAACAACTTTTCTTCACTAAAGTATTGTAAAGTAAAGTTTTGAAGAATAAAGAATATAATAATATTAAATCTGGTGTAGCAATGAAGAAAAAATGAATGTCACCCCTAGAGTGTAATATTTTTATATCCACGCTGTTAGCAGAGGCAGAGGGAGCTAAAAGCATTCGTGATGGCGCATAACATGAACCAGGCTAACTTAATCTAACAGAAAAATAAGCAAAACACCATTAGCTGGGATTTGACTGGTACAGTAATGTCATATGCTGTCATGCTCCTTTCCCCTACTTCTAAGTAGTTACAGCAGGTGTAAGGTTTTTTAATCCCCACATCTCAACTCTCTTGCAGATCTCAGACAGTCGGTCATGTGGGAACGGGGCCGAGGGTGGCAACATGACAGACTCAATGGTGGAGGAGGAAGAGGCATCTGGCAGGATGACCGTGTCACAGCTAGAGCAGTTGGTTCCTGAGGTGGGTATTGGAGGGTCCAGGTAATTTTGAAAGGTCTCTGTTGGTTTGGGTGAGTTTGGGAAGATTTATGGTGTCTGGGGGAGTTATGGAGGATTTTAGTGGGATTTAGGTACCACAGTATATTTCACAGGATTTTAGGAGAAGTTCCCATTGGTTTCTGCTTTGATTATTACAGGTTCCAGATGGTGCTGGGAGATCCTGATAGGTTCTGGATGGTTTTGTAAGTGTTGATAGTTACTGGTGAGCTTTAGGTGGTTCAGGCTTGAGGTGCTTCTCTATAGGTCTGGATTTCTGGCATATTTCTGAGATTTTTGTATGAATTTGAGGAGAAAAGTTAGTGATGTTAGTTCCTGGTCACCTCGAGTTTTTAAGATCAGCATAAATTGTCAAATTCTTGGTCATTTGGCTGTGGTGACTCCTAGTGTGTCATGTTAGGTTATAGTGGTAAGATTAGGTGTGGTAAAGCTAGCACTAGTTTTACTGTTGATGGAAAAGCTTTTGAATCATATTATTCTATTATTGCACGCTGTACTCTTGATCAATACTCCATTACTGTTACGTCCTCAGTCACCTTGCTCCCTCTCCTTCTCTCTCATTTTTCTCCTTTCAGGTTGATTTGATTTCCTTGTTGAGAGACCATACCACTTCCCTTGATCCCTCTTACTCACCCTTCCTCTTGCTTAACTTCTCTTCTTCACACATTTTCCGTCTTTCAGATCGCGTGGAGTCGCATGCTGAGATACACCTTGGAGGAGTATGACCTGGAACTGGATGTGGAGTCACTAATTATCACTCTCCACTGCAATGCTTATGTTCCTGACCTGGTGAAGCTGCTCTCTAACACACCCAAGAGGTAATCTCACCTCTGTCATGTCCCATAGATATTGTTTGGAAAATATATATCATTTCCATATACAAATACTGTATATAGGTTATCTGATAGTTAGTGAACCATTTAATTGATAATGAGGTGGAAGAGTTAAATATGAAGACAAGATAGGTAGTCAGGTAAATGAGTAAATAAATGCAGATCTTTGATGCTTACTCCCTCCAGGGTGATCGTGAACTACTTGTTGTGGAGGTTCGTGCTCCGCTACATGCCCTATATCAGCAACTACTTCCAGCAGCTCTGGCAACAGTTCAGGAGTGAGGTATGACACACTGACCTTTGAAGAATAAGTCAATGGGTTATATGTTTGTGGATAAAATATCATGTGTAGGCTGTAACTGTTGAAGGAATGGGGTTAATGACCAGGAATGGGAAAACTAAAACAGAAAACATTATTGAAACATCATGGTTAGATACAGTGGACAGTAATGTAAATGTAACGTATCTATATAAACACAGATCAGAAACAGTCAGTTGTTAAGGATACGTAACTCGGGAAATCAGTAATATAGAGATACAGTATGGTCACCTTATAGTCAACGTGGGATGGTTATTGTCACGTGATATATAAACAGTGATTCAGGTATAGGTAATATGGTTGATAAATACAAAAGTATGCCCTTGATTCTAAGGTGTTATGTTATTTTATTTTACTGTAGCAAGTCCTTCCCTCCGTCCTGTTATGGTGTCAAGAATCAAGATCAATGATGATTCCCCTGATGTACATTATCACCTACCAAATGTGTCTATTGAATGAATACATGATCCACAAGCATAATCCAGGTCCTTCTGTGTTCTATTCCTGAGCAATACTTGTTCCCCTCAGGTACCGGACCCATTCGAGGACCGGACGTATCTGAGTCGCTGGAAGGAATGTGCCGCCGTCGTCAATGAAGGCTTCGGTGCCGCTCTAGCCAGGATGTATGTTGAGCAGCACTATGACCACCGCATCTCTGAGAAGGTTATATGATCTCTCTTCAAACTGTAAAAGTCACTTGTAGTACTACGAGATTTTTGTATGTGTGAGGTGATCGGCATCTTGGAGCCTCTAATACTGTATTTCCGTGTCACTGTGGATATATGTGTAGGTTAAGGAGGAGAGTAAGTATGCGTGAATATCCCTCTACTCTCAAATGTCTTCCCACAGATTGATAACCTGGTAGAGGAGGTCCGCGCAGCCTTCCACATCGTGATTGATCGACAGGATTGGCTGGAGCAGGAGATGAAACAGGTGTGCAATGACAAGGTGAGTTTGATACCATGTTGGATTTACCTGCTTACTATCGGGATTTGTTTTAACTTTATATATATACTGGTGATATAAAGATAAGTTAACTGTACAGACTCAGTCACTTCATTTGGGTTTCTCGGTTGTCTGAATTTATACAAAGTTTCGTGAAAATACCTTTTATATAGAAGATATTTGAAGTATAATGTCCTGTCCTGTGGGAAGCTGTGGTCTTGGGTATAAAATAATTTGGGTTTAGTCAAAGTGAAACATATGTAGCATAATATTTACAGGGAGTTTTTAGTTGAATTCCTGTCATTTCTAACCTTTGTGGGACTGTGTGTTTCAGCTAGATATAATGGGAAAGAAGATCGGCTACCCAGAGTACATTGAATCAACAGAGCTCCTGGATGCTGAGTTTGAGGGGGTACGTACAACACCTCTTTATTATCATGGTACTGTACTCAACTAGATGTTAAGAATATTATATATTTTCCTGTGGGATGAACTCTAACAAGGCCGACTTACCTTCAGCTGGAGATTCTCGAGGACCACTTCCTGAACAACATCTTGAGGATGAAGAAGCACGAGGTGTGGAAGGAACTACAGAAGCTTTCCCGACCAGTCGACAAGAAGAGGTACTCTTCCTCGCCCACCTTCATGGCCAGTAAAACTCATTGGCTTTTGAGTGTTTGTGATTTTGTGTGACACTATATTTAGTCCAGCACAAGTAACACTAAGAGATTTTTATATAGTAAACTTGATAAACCACAGCATAAATATGATTCCCTAACTTCTATGAGTATTATGATATTAAAGTCTTCAACCCTCTTAAATTTTCAATGAAACCCACAGCATACTAGATTCTCCTTCACACAGAGTAAAAATTTGCACAATATTCAATCTCTATATATAGACATTCTCAGACCTTGGATAGATAATGATTTAAACACTCAAAGACTCATCCATTACCATGTTCACACCTGCGGAGAATTTCATCCCACTGATATGTATACTGTTTCTCTGCAGAGACTGGTTGATACAGCCCTTGGTGGTCAATGCCTTCCACAACCCTGCAGCCAACGAAATCAGTAGGATATGTTTTCTTCTTTTACTCTATCACTCTTAGTTTCTTTTTTAGTCTCATGTTTATCATTCATTATATGTAGGGTTAGTCTTGATCTCACATTAACCTGAAAATTAAAACTTAAACAAATATTTCTCCTTTGCCAACAGTCTTACCACTTGGTATCTTACGAGAGCCTTTCTACAACCCGGGATATCCCATGTAAGATTATATTCTGAGGTCTTTTGTACTATATATTAAGTTTTTCCTCAGAGGACTCATTAAATCCCAAGCAAGGCTCATGGGTGACTGATCTAATGGGGCTAGTCCTGTTAGACCCTACCCTACCCTACCCTACTTTAACCTAATCTTACATAACCTACTCTACCCTAACTTAACCTAACCAATGGACCCGGTCATAATGGATAAGCTGGGGGCCTTAGAGTATTAGGAGCTATTTGATCTACACCTGAGCACAGTCCATAAGCATGCCATCCTTGGCTAAATTCTATTAACCTTCAGAGACCTACAGAAATCTTGAGTAAGACTTCCCTTATTAGAATACACCAGTCATCTCTAATATCTAAATAAAGAATGTTCCAAAAAGTTCACACTCAGGTATCAACAAACTGAAGTATACCTTTAGGAAGAAGTGCCATATAATCAACACAGTGGGACATAGAAATATTCAGAGGGGATTTATATCTTTAAGAAGGTCCTTATCCATTACAGTATTTTATGGAAGTGGTCCGTCGTATTTATGTATGGGAGATAAGGAATGAGGGCAACTTGCAGAATTATAGAGAAAGATGTAGATGTACTGAATAGTTTCGTAATAACTATGATGTTTCTTGTGTTGGTGGTCAGGTACCTCAACTACGGCAGTCTTGGAGTGGTGGTGGGACACGAGCTGGTCCACGGCTTCGACAACCATGGTTAGTCTCAGATTTTCACTGAAGTTTAGACATTGATAAATATAACCAGATTACCTGTACAGTACATGAGAAAACAATGTTTCCCATACTTTAGACATAGAAGTATGTGGTACAGAATGTTACAGTATAGTATTTATGTGTTAACTGTATGTAAGTGGTGTCTTATTGGCTTTTGGCTAAACAAACAATTATTTGAATTGTATTTCTCTTAGCTTAAAGTTATGTATTTTTTTCTCTCTACCATTTTAAGAGGGAACTTTGATATGGTTACTTTTATTCTATTTATCCACCTGTCTGGTTCTAGAGATTTAATAAGAACAATGACTTGACTGTGTGTGTATCAAACTTTCCCATGTGTAGGTGAGGTGTTTTCCCCATTTTATTTGTAAATTGTTCTTATTTTCATATCCAGTGTGTGTGTCCTTGTTTCTTTTACTATGCTGTACCTAACATAGCCCACCTGTGCCCTCAAACATGTACCGTATCTCACATGCATATTTGTTTTGCTCGCAGGTAAGAGATACGACAAGCACGGGAATGTGTCTCAGTGGTGGAGCGAGGAGATGGCAGAACAGTTCACCGAAAGGGCTGCCTGTTTCGTTGAACAGTACAGCCAATACCCTATCGAGATGGTGGGCAAGAATGTGAGTTTCAATCTGGGTTTCTTACCATTTAGTGACCTATAGTGGTAGAGAAGTCTTTTGGTCACTCATCCTTAAACTGACTTGGCTGCCACACTGCATGACTTACCACCCTCACACAGTGCATCTCGAGTGTTACGTCTGTTCACTGCCTTTCATTTCTACTTGCGCCACCATCTTGATTTTTCTATAGAGAGACCTACTGTATTCTGTACTTCTCCGTCATAGGGATAAGTATTTCTTTTTTTACATAAATAGACTTTAAGGGATTTTTTTTTTTAGATACAGATGATTGATTCATGTACAGTAGATTCGTGACTGTGCACACATATCCATAGGTCAATTAAGGTACTATAGGGGAACAGTGACGAAACATCTTTTGAGATAACCATGGTTGATGCTCGTTACATATCCTTAAAATAAACTAAATTTCCCATCTTTTGACAGCAGGAGTTTTATTAAAATCATTTGGTGGGTTACAGAAATACATGGGAAAATTAGTTACTTCAACTTATACCATAAATTTTTCCTCGCTTCCTCTAAGTTGTGATGTGTATTTAACATTATTTCTTGCTGCATTATTTCCAGTCTTGATGGTTTGATTTTTTCCAAGTCTTTTACAGCTTAATGCCAGGTAGTGAGGGATAGCAAACACATTTTCCTTCTCTACTTGTTCTTCATAAATTCTTACAGCTGTATAATAATATGTGTTATATGACTGTACTCCCACAACAAGGCCCTCTACCTAGTTCACTCTCCTCCATCTGCAGCATGTTCTCTCCCAGTTCATGCTGTGCTGTCTGCTCACGTTGTAATATATTTAGAGTAATTGCGTCTTCATATAATTGTGTAATTTGATACTAGAACTTATTATGTCCCTTAGACCTGCACCTTTATCCTTACTGATGCACCTGTGTCTTAAAGTTGATTTTGTGGTAACAAGAACTATTGCATGAAAGCAATTATAAACTTATTAAAAATCTTTATTAATGTGTGTTATTTACTGATATATTTGAACATAGCAATAAGGCTTGGAAATTCTTGTTAAGGGAATGATCACTTAAAGAGAGGAGGCCAGCACTGAGGGTCATCACTGCCCAGTCAGAGAGCATTAATGGAACTTGCCACCAGGAAATTCCAAGCCTGCACTTACACAAACATTACTGTATTCATGAAAATTGCATACAGTATTCCTTCTCATTATTCCACTGATATTTTAGTGTTTATTGATGGTTTAGGATCCATCTTCCGGCCAGGTTGATGGCAACGAGACACTCGGGGATAACATCTGCGATAATGCAGGAGTACTTAATGCTTGGTTGGCGTACACCCGCTGGAGGGAGAAGAACGGAGAAGAACCTTATCTGCCCGGCATGAACTACACAGTCCCACAGATATTCTTCATCACTTTTGCCCAGGTATTCATTTTCACTATTTTCACCACCACCTTAGGGTAAACTTTCACCAAGATTTACTTCTGTTCCTTCACCAAAGTATACATCTTGTGTACCTTCAATTAGGTTTGTAATTAGTTAAAGTACTGTACTTCATCACCTATTCCTGTTTTTTGTGTGTGTGTTTTTTGCCCAAGTTTGCACCTGTTTCATCAGCTTCTTTATGGTACAGTATTTATATTTGTAGTATAAGTTGTGTAAGTATCTCTCTTAATCTTTCTGGCAAACTTTCAGCTCTTGCATCTCCAGTAAATCTGTGTCTACGTTCTTCTTGATTGGTGTATAGAGTTATGGTCTCCCGACGAGTCTTTCTAAGGGTTACGAATGAGTTCCGTTCCTTATATACATCTAAAACCACTGAATTTGAGAGAAAAGAAGAAATATAATGACAATATACAGTAAATGAAAGTAAAAAATAAGACATCAGGTAAATAAAGTACTGTACGTTTAAAGTTTAACCTCGTTCGTATTGGTGGATGTTCATAAGTCGGACGTTGATAACCCTGGGACCTCCTGTCTGTACTGATCACCTCCATGTTGTACAGGGGAGGGATTGGTAGGAACCTTCAGAGAAATGACAGTCATCTTGTCCTAACCTTGTTCTACAGCCTTGAGATAGAGTTATGATTGATTCCAATAGAAGCAACATAATGGTATAGTATAGTAGGGGTCAAAGGATAGTCATCTTAACCACCATTATTCAGGTAAGTATCTTTCTTAATACTGAACCATTGTCTGTATTTTGAGGTGTGTGCTGGGAGTAGTCACCTACAGTAGCGTATCGGAGAGCAGTCTAATTGTTTCAGTGAGTTGTCTGTAGTGGAAGGTGTACACTGATCTCATAGTAACATGTACAGTTGCACACACACACACACACACACACACACACACACACACACACACACACACACACACACACACACACATATATCAGTCACCTGATAATAGATGCCATAGATACATTCATCTTACTGTAATATGTGTTATTGATACATTCAACCCACCATGATATCCTTCTGTTTCTAGATCTGGTGTGAGGTGGTGAGCAAGGAAGGCTATGAGAAGTACAGCAAGGACATGCACAGCCCGGGGGTCTACAGAGCTAATGTTGTTGCACAAAATTCCCAATTCTTTGCTGACACTTGGGACTGTCCAATTGGCTCCCCCATGAACCCAGGGAAGAAGTGCCACCTCTGGGTTTAGAATGGAGAATTTCAGTGAGAGACAGATTGTCAGCTAGCAACAAACTGTCTGCCAGTGACACACTGCCAGCAAGAGACAAGTGTTATCTTTGGATAAAGGTGTGAGAAAGTACTTGATGGATGTGCCAGTTTGATATATGTCAACAAAAATATCAGGTACAGGGAAGCCATTACTAAGCAGAGATAGGAAAGATGTTCCCTGTAAGAAATGTTGTTCATCTATGTAGACAACAGTTACAGATAATGTTTAAACAAAAGATGTCATCTTTGGTGTAAAAAGGAGTGTCAGATGTAAGAAGTGGCATTGTAGGGTGACTGGCAGGGTACAAACAAATAAGAAAGTGACACCAAGATCAAGATGTCTGCCAGTTGGGCTCAGAAATGTCGGTTATGGCTTCCTTATTGAGAAGTGCTGACATAAAGAAGTATATCCATCGTCAACATTATGAACAGTGGGAGGTTCATCTGATCGTGTGGCTGGTAACAAAGGCATAGTTAATTTTATTAGCAATTGAGTCTTTTTGTAAATAAAATTAGTCTCTGAAGACTCCTTTGTTGAAAAGATTGACGTTGTGGCCCTACCTTGTTGTATCGGCTCTTGTTGTATATATTGGCTCTCATAGAAATAAGAGTAACTTAAGATACTCAGGAGCCAGCCAGAGATGGCCATCACTTGTGTGGACATTATTTGTTGTAGCTGTGTCTTGAAGTAGAGACGCCATTCTCAAGGTCACCTGCCAACCTGAGGTCTTCCTCATCAACTGTATTAGCAAGTTATCCTCGTCGGACAACATGTGCCAAGAAGTCAACTCCCCCAAACAACAGTGCCAAGAATTAATCTTCCTTGTACAACAGTGCCAAGAAGTAGTTTTCCTGATACAAAAGTACTAAGAAGTACTCTTGGTGTAGACAGCAGTGGCAGCAAGAAGTAATGCTCCCTGACATAACAGTAACAAAAACTAGTCATCCCAGGACAAGTGTAGAATGAAGTTATCCCATGAACCAATATTTCTATTCAGAAATCCTACCAGAGAATGCCATTGTACTCCAGAATTGTAAATTGGCCTTACTGTCTGCTGGGTGAAAGATTCCCAAACTAAATAATTTTACGTATCTTTGTATTTTCACCTCATCACCAGTGTGTTCTGAGCAGCTGAGAGACTGGGTGTTGTCTGCTCCTGCACACATTTTGGAGGACATATCCCAAGATTTGAAAGAAAAATGTGTAGAGAAAGCTCCTCCCACCATGCAGTTCTAATGGGTGATGTGCGATTCAAACCCATCGCTACCTGTTTCCACGTACTGTAGATACGCCTCTTGAAAATTTTCTGAAAGAAAGTCACGAGACAGCTCCTCCCAATCAACCATTATGTACGGATGAAATGGGACTCATACTTATGTGTATGGACACCAGTTTAGAGGACATTTCTTTTGAATATTTTCAAGATGACAGCAGTGAAATGCTTTGAATGAGCACAGGACTCACCAGTGTTTTAAACCGAGTGATTGTGATTATACTTATGGGATATAATGTCCCTCTGACCCCAAGTCTGAGCACATAACATAATAAACCATGAATAATGTTTCACAGTGAAGGAACAGCAGCGATGTGATGGTGAGGAATGGAAACTTTGATGTAAGTGTAGTGTTTTTGTCAGTGCAAATCATGATACTTATTATGGGTAAAGTTAAAGAGATATTATTTGTAAAGAAGTGTTTGCAACCAAATATTTGTGATGTACACTTACTTCCTATTACAGTAATGCATTATCAAATTTTTAACAACAAACTGCGCTAAAAGAAGAGCTGTATGAACATTATCAGCAAGGCGTCGGAAATAACACTGGTTGAGAGTGAGTGAGTACAGACACCGGGCGGTCAGTGGACACGGTATCTAAGAGTGCAGTGATGTACAATGGGCTGTCACACATCATCAACGTCTGATTTGCCTTTAAACATTCAAGGACTAATTATTCATGTCATAACTGGATGGTGAACTTTGGCATATTGATACACACAAGTAGAACTTTTGTCTATGGTCATATGGAAGTTAGAAGATTATAATTATTTGTAGATGCAAGACAATGGAAAATCCTTTCATGTATAGTCGAGAGGAAAGTTGAATCTCTCATGCATAATGAAGGAGTCGGTTCAAAAAGTCACAGTACCACACTTATCACTTTTAAACTAATCAGTCTTTGATAAACCTCTCTAAATTAACTCTCACACATTTAACACCTGATGGAGCAGCCGTGGTTTGAAACTATTTGCAGAGGCTCCCAAAAAATCGTACTGGTACAGTATTTCTTCAAGCTGGTTTCCCCTAAAAATTGAATTCATGATTCTTCCTGCAAATGACTTCTGCTGCAAGGATTACCTGTCACTAAACAAACCATGCGTACTCCTCTAGTCACACTGTATATTACCTTGATCCTGCAGTCTCGGTACTTTTATATGACAACTCACTGAGAAAAAGATATTTTCTCGTCTGCTGTAGCCTCCTAGCTCAGAGCATGAGTGTACTCCTTAAATATCACTAAAAGGACAATCTGTGCTAGATTGTTGCTGGTAGTCAAGAAAGGATATTTTCATAATGTAAATGTGGGTACGGTGTACTAACAAACATGCACATTTGCGGTACATATAACTACTGTACTGTACTATGACTTTGTTATGGCTCACACCACAACCTTCGTCACCCATAAGAATTTTGAACTTATATTTAAAATTTGTTTCATTTGGGATGCTAATGAATCCACTTAGTGTATATTTCTTAATTATCCAGAACAAAACTATTCAATTATTGTTCTATAAAAGTCTATACAGTACAGCATAGTACCGTACAGGTACTTGTATTATGAAATATGTGGGTTCCAGAAGTACAGTATTAGATTCTCACATTGGGAAAGAACATCTATTATCTGTACCACAATTCTTGGGGCATGATTCGCCACAATAAAAGACCATTTAATGTTATGTAATAACTAAAGGATGATTTATTACAAAATATAATCTTTAACTTGTATTTACAAGGTAAGAACAATTTTGATCCTCCAATACTTAAAGAATTCAGGTATTTGTCAAACAAACATTAACGTCACCAAGTTTGTAGCTTAACAAAATTTCCTATTGTATTTGCTCGAAAGATTCTTGGAGTTAAAATTTCGTTAATTTAGAAACACGGATGATCAAAGATTAATTTATTAATTAATTCATGGGTGAGAAGGGTTATGGTGGGGAGCTGCTTCGTGTCTTCTCCTATATAAGTGTTAGTGTAGTGGCGGGCAGGTGTCAGGGATGGTTCACCTCCTCATGATGTAAGATGACAATATTTACAGGTTTCATTTATCAGGTGGAAATAACACTTTTAGTGAATTGGATTCTTTATATGTTATCTAATGCTGCTGAGATCTGGGTTTAAGGAAAATTATTCTGATTTCTAGGTAATGTATCCAATAAAATTCTTTATTCCCTGTTACTAACCCACCCTCGCAAGTGTGAAAAATGGCCGTAAAGTGGTGATTATAATGCTGATGCCAGTTGTAATAGTTAATAGATTCAGTGTATAAAGATATTAGTCTGAAGACATGTAAACTCTGTATCCAGTGGAGTAAGTCTAAGTGGTCCCAACACACTATTAGGCCCTACTCCTTCTGGGCCACAGTCCTGATGGGTAAGATATGGTCCCAGTAAGCCTTAGGTCTAATAGTTGTAGGACCAAGTTGATCAGCCACCAAACTAATTTACCTCCTGTATGGTTCTTAGTTACAGTGCCATTAAGTTGCTCTTATCTGTATCAGTGAATGAGGGGGACACACGTTACCAACTGGACCATCTCTGCCCCTAGCACACCCACTGTGTTCTGTGTTGACAGTGGCTGGATCCACGTTCTTTTCTAGTTATTAAGTATTTCTACCCTAGTTTGAGGAAGGTGAGCCTCCTCCTCAACTCAGACTATGGTCTTACCCTCTGTAACAATCTGGTCGTAAAGGATAGGTCAGGTGCTTTAGTCTTGGACAACTTTCTAATGAATCTACTTTTGTAAATCTCATTCATAAAGACTTAGCTATTTCTTACAAAGTTAAATTTTGAGGTAATTATTCTGAAGTTAACAAAAATAGTTAAATAAGTAGTACATATAATGTTGAAACCTCAATAAGTAACTTTTCTTCACGGTGGAGCTGGTGAGTCGCAGTAACACCTAAAGTTGTTAAAATATTTGCAGTTTGACAAAATGAGTGGTAGAAGGGAACATAGCATTATCTCTCAAAGAACATCATGTGTTACCTCTTTGAAACATTGCATAATGAAGATATACAACTGAAATTGTTCAAAAACAGCACGAGACTGACAGTAGAGATGTGTAAGATAAATGTTTACAACACGCACAAGACCCCTCGACTAAGTGAGGTCAGAGATATACCCCCGGTGTATTCAAAATAAACAAAGGAAACTGGTATTCCTGTTATATAAACCTGTGTGTTGTGTTTCCCTTCGGTTGTTAAGCTGCCACAAAAGAAACCATTTGGGAGTAAATATTTCATGTAATACACGCCATCTTTTATTTCTCTCCTTTCCAAGCCATTGTGTGATCCATCTGATGCAGGGCCATATTTATTTTTAGCCAAAAATTAGATTTCATTTAAAATCTCAGTATATGTACTCTTGAGCAGGTGATTCCGAATCTATGATCCATGATTCGATTGTGGGGTAATTAACTAATTCTAATATTATAAATTAATTTATTATATTAGAATTAGTTCATTTTACCGCCACACCACCCCGTTAAGTACTGTACTGCGGGGTCCCTCAGGACTCGTTTAGCTTGGATACATACATGACTCGTTTGTGTATCATTAATACAGTATATGAACAAATGATGGCTTCTGATGTAGCTTAATACATGCCCACATGATAGCCTATGTATAATTATTACTGTACTGTAATTAGTGCCAATATGATGGTGTGTGTATACTAACACAAAAGTGCCAGCCTATGTTTAACTTCCAAATTAATGTCTTTGACTCTATGTGGTGATGTATTGGGTACATATAACCAAACTAAGTTACCCACATGACGGTAAACCAACAGATGGCATCGTAATGCCTTGGACGAAAGATTTTCAGAGTAGAGAACTGCCGAAACTACTGTACTGTACGTAGTGTATTTCCAAACACATGAAACCCAGTTAGACATATTTTTTTTGTGCATACAAAAACTTCACTACGTACATGGCCGATGAATTTCAAAATGAACACGGACCCCTGTTGCTTCAGTGTGAGAATTGTCATTAGCAAGAGCGACAACTAATGCTTGGGCTTGGCTGGCTGACGCGGGTAAGGCAGTCGGGTCCACCTCAAGAGTCGTGTATACCTGGTGTTAGGTCATGTAAAGCCGCGACCTCTTGTTATCGATGCCTAAATGCATTATTTTCAACAGCTTTATTTAGATGCATAATCTTTTATAGGTAAAACAAACGTAAATTAAATATTTTAAGTTTTATTATAAATATTTTATCACATAAAATAAGGAACAATATAAAATTGATAACCTCTGTTGTGCCAAAGATTAAAATATTAGAATTGTTTATTGTTTGGCATATATAAAAAAATAAAATTTACCAAGAAATCCCAATAAACTCTACTATCTGCTCTATAACTTAGGGCATATTGTACTGTGCTATATACGAGTCGTGTATTTTGGTCAACCCAGTACTGTCCACCGTCCCAGGGTGACTACTATCTGTATTAATCAATATTAAATACTAAAAGTTGATAAAGATAAATTGTTTTGGCCATTTAAAGATTAGAAGTGTTGGTCCAACTTCTTAAGTGGAGATAAAATAGTTTGTTGGTTAAGGTCAAGACATTTCACCTTCAGTGTCTCGTATGGCAAGTACAGTAGTGCATGTCCAGCCAACAGTAGGATTCTATACTGGAGATTTAATAACCATATTTTACAACATTCATACTCTATAAATCCCTCTCTTGTGGTGCAGTGGCCAGGCAGATACCTTCACAGTACTGACCTGGCTCTGCTTTCAATAACTAGGGAGTTGAGTAATCTCTTGGTAGATGCTAGTCCACCTAAGTGTTCTTTTGAGATCATAGAGAGCCTGATAGCGTACATTACTTATTGGTGAGTGTATGAGGGAAACTAGTCCTCTCTGACTGAGATTCGAACTTGCAAATATTAAATTACTGTACAATACAAGTGTTGTACCAACTACTATCATTTATACAGTCAAGTGAGTACCATGGTTTCCAAATGATCGGTGGTGGTGTTTTCGTTATTGAGGATGAAAGTAAAGGAAAGAAAACATGTTGCTTATTAAACAGGAGAGAAGTATGTGAAGGAGGGCGGGAACAAGTGTAGTACTGTACAATATTACCTCCGGACTCTGCACCAACGAAAGGACCACTTAAGATTCTCACACTGATGTGAATTGTTACCATGTACCAGATTACGGTCAAAAAGAATGTAGGACTAAGGATGTCAGTTACTAAAGAGCGCTTGTGGGTGACCTAATGCTGGTAGATAAAATAAGAATTTCTTGAAGTTTAGGAATGAGGAAGATCGTAAGTTTTTGTTTGGTTGGTTAACTTTTTTTTGTGTTGCCACGGCATCTGTATGGCGTGGTTACTTTTGGAGGAGGATGGGTATTATAGTACAATATTATTCGGGTATTATAGTACAATATTATTAAATATATTAAATGTCACTTTATTTGTGTTTCTCGTCAACCACATCACAGCGTTAACTGTCTAAAATAACCAGTATGTGAGGCCTCTTCCCCCAGCCTCTGCAGATGGTAGAGTCTACTGTTTATAGCAATAAGAGCAAGAGAAAACAGATGCAATAAATATAACCTTATAAATATATTTACTATTCATCTGCTAAAGTAATGTTTGTGCTGAACTTGTCTTTGAACAAGTGTATAAACTACAGAACGTTTAAGGATCAACAAATGAAACGATGATATATCTTGTTCCTGCTGTAGTTCTGAGGCCCTCGTGTAGATGAGTGAGTCGTCCAGGGTGCATCAACACCCAGCCCACCCGAGAATCCGTGACAGAGCAGTCGTACCTCACAAATCGACAGCCGCCACCCTGTATTATAAAAAATCCTGTAGTTTACCGTTTCTAAATAGAGTTGCCACATTTGCATTATTTCACGAAGGTAATGCCTCAAAAACTTTTCTAGTAACCTAAGCTCACCTCATAGTCAACTCCGGGTTTGTTGAGTGCAACGTTGATGGTGTAGGTGGAGGTGTCGTGGTGAGGTTTGAGGAGAGGCTGTTCATCAGGCTTGTAGCGCACCATAAAGTTCATGAGTGCTCGCGGGGGCTGAAGAGGAGCAGTAGTGATAAGACTGGAGCATGATACTGTGCAAGGATTATATCATTTACTGTCATATTCCTTATGATCACGTGAATGGGTAGTGAGTGATAATTAAAACACATACACTGGTAAGTATTAAATTCTATGTCAATATAAACTTTGATATTCAGTGGCTGCCTCTTCAGTTGAGTACAGAGGGAAAATGGGATTACTGGGAACATACACTTTAAGTAACAACCAAGGCTTCACTGCAGTAGGTAAGATAATGGTACAGTAGTGATGTGAGCCGGAGCTTTCATCACAGGATCTAGGTTTTAGGTATCTTTACGTAACAGCTAGACAGGAAAATAAATTGTTGTATAAGTGGTCATTTTATGTAGCAAATATTTTTTTTAAGCTACAGAGTATAATATACAGTATTTTGAAATAGAAAGTTATAATCTTTAAAGACTCTCTCTGAAGTTTCCATGAAGGCTTTGATTTCAGGTCATTGCTGTACCTTAAAACGACCTTAAGTGTTGCAGTGTCGGCTCAGTCCTCACTTCCAGCTGAACTATTCTGTCTATATGTATAATCATCATCAGTAAGTTCATATGAAGCATTATGCGAGTCAGTGTGCAAGCTACAGATTCACTCTGTTTACTGCATTCTCACAGACTACATGCATACATGCAGAGTGCGAATACAAGCCAGTATGTAAGAGTAATGCAGTACAGTATTTCTATTTGTTGTCTTACCGTATCTCTTTCCCGTCCTTCTCCAGACACAACCTTACCAATCTGAGGTTTAAGTGTCCCTTCATCTACTCCACATCACAGTGTGAGAGGAGTTAAGAGATATGGATTAAAATTGTATTTCTTATCAGCTATTAAAAAAAAAAGAGTCCTTATTTCATTGTCAATTAACACCCTAAAACAAGGTAAACTACCCACCACTATTCTAAGTTTAACCAACCAGCCACCACCATTTTTAGCTTAACCAACCAGCCACCAAACCAAAACTAGTCAACCACCACCAGGAAGGAATGGCTCCTTACTCCTGCGTCGTTGTTGTAACCCTCGAAGACCTTGAGCTGTATAGGCTGTATGTATACCCGCAGGATGTCCAGCCACTCCTGCTCCATACCCACCTGCTTCATGTGGATATCTATGGTGGGTACCGATTCATACCCGCCCTCAAGCCGTGGGTCCTACCAAGCAGACACAAACATGATTATTGGCTATGATGATGAAGAACGGCCCATGTAATGTGTGAATCGAAGAATGGTCACAAGTGGGCATAGGTTAATGTGTGGATGTTGAGGCATACTGTACAGATAGGGACGTTAATGTGTGGATAAGGAATCATAAATTATGCTGAGTGAGCATAAAGTGGTTCAGAGAGATGCATACATATCATTGATCAGGTAAGCATGACAGCATATAAGTTTTACTCGTGCTGAGATAAAGTCAACACAGGAGAGGGACACATGCCAATACTTCGAGCAGGTAACAGTGTCAGCCTCCTGCAAACTATAACACCCATCATGGCCATGTCCTGCTTGGCATGATGGAGGTCTGGAATATGAGGTAAACAACCCAGATCTATGCTAACTTAAGCAAATTATCAGAAAGATTATTGAATTAATAGATCTATGAGTAAAGTGCAACTAATGTAATAAGTTATTATCAGCAGGCTAGAGTACAGCACTTATCTGGGAACTTCTGGGTCATCTAAAGAGAAATTACAATTAGTGAAATTTTTAAAACAGAAAACACTCAAACCATAAGCCTACTGTAAATATTATCATAAAATATTTACGCCACACAAGCAAGCACTACCAGTCATGCTAAGGACTCTTCAGTAACCCTACATAGCGGTCGTAACCAATGAAGATCTTCTTAGCCATTGGTGAGACCCACTTGGACATGATCTCCTGCCAGATTGCCCCGAGCCCAACACTCTTGATCTCTGCCTGAGGTGGCCCACCGTCATACCTGGACTGGTGAGGGACCGGGAAGTCAAGGGAGATCACTACCTCTCACCTTCTGCTTGTGTGAATGTTCCTTCCTCCTACAGTAGTACAGTAATACTCTGACCTGAAATACTGGCGTCTTATGAGGGTGTATGGTGCTGCTGCTCCTCTGGCTTGTACTGGGGGCCTCATAAGGTGTATATGACTAGTAGATCCCTAACTTGTGATAGTGAGGATGTAAGAAAACTATACAACTGTTATAGTGTTTTAACCTAAATTACTAATAAATATGAGCTTGGTTGTTAGTATCCTGGGCCCCTTGGTTGTTAGACTGGAGGACAGACACACACATTACCAGATTATCAACTGGTATATTGGATACCTGAATATTTCCATTTGGTCTGAGAGAGAGTGTAGCTAGAAGCTCCACATACCATAGCTTGCTTGTCATGTTAGGTTGTGCATATGAATATTCATTATTATTGGACCTAATTTTAATGTTTGATAACTTTAAGCATATCCTAAATGACTACAGTATATAGAGGAATAATTCTTAATCATTACCTGAGAAGTGTTGGTACCTTATTATTGGTACTGATGAGTGTTTCCCCAAGTCTTGAGGATTTTTATTTTATGAAACGAGTGAACCTTCGACCCTAACAACGTTCTACTACCATATGAACCATTAAGGATACTGAACTTCATCATATAAATACACCACTATAGTACAGTACCACTATATTGCCCTCATTAAATTAAAATAAATGGCAGTAATAAATAAAACAGTTATAATATTTTCAAAGAACAATAATAGCTTACATTATTTGTGCCGTCAGACCAGACCCCAAAGTTTTCAAAGGTTTCAATCATCTCCTTGGCAAAGCGTTCCTTGAAGAGTGGGAACCAGTATACATCAGGGCAGGGCTGCAGGAGGAGGGAGGTGAGTCTTAGTGTTCAGGTGTTTGGTAGTCTCATATATTTTAAAGACAAGTTCACTGAATTCACAAATTTCAAATCTGGATTGATAATTTTATAAGGCAGGAGAAGAGAAGAAATAAGAGAGGAGGTCGTGGCAGAATATACCACCGGGCAGTCCGCTGGTTTGCCCGTCAAAGTTGCCACAAAGTGTTCGATGACGGACTCATCACTCTCGCCCGACGGTCGCTGTCCGATAGTGTGGACGGGGCTTAAGAATAATGAATCGAGAAAACAAGTTGAAAATACAGAAAGGTTGCAAGGAGGACATCTTACCATCTCCACAGTGGTGTTCTCAGCCACGGCATGAGAGTAGTTGGGGTGGAGGTAGCGGTGTTCCCAGTCCCAACGATTCTCAATAACCTGCCACAGTTCATTATTCATATGGGAGGTGTCGAACTTGTCAGCGTTGACCAGATGACCGAAGTCCACACGATTACTGACGTGCATGAAGACACCCTGAGGGAGGGAGACAGGTTGTTCAAGAGGTGATGAACAAGTTTGAACAAAGGTGAGAGGTAAGAAAAGATAATTATCTATATGAATCTTTTTACGAATGGGAGGAATTAGGAAAAATGGAGGGAAATGGGTTGATTAAATACACTCACCAGGGGACAGTGAATGACACAAGGCACATTACCTTCTCTCTGAGGTTCTCACAGAGGGCCATGTCAGGGTCAAGGAGGTTCTTGATGAAGGAAGGTCTCTTATCTGGGTCATCCAACAGTGAGCGTCGCAGCAGGTAGCAGCCACTGATGAATGGCACATTCCACAACCCTCTGAAACACAAAACTTATAACTAACAGAATAGAACAGTAGTATGGTGTGTTTTTTGCAAGGTTAGTCCAGTCTACTAAACCCGTACCAATGCCACAGGACTCATTCAGGAAAAGACTGAAAATTACTTTAATATTACAAAATAACTCAAATTACTTGGTTCTGCTCACAAGTTCAACACACAATTGTCACCCGTTCATGCAGGATACAAGTCACTCGAGGGATACCACATACTGAATCCATTCTTTACTAACATTACCCACAAACCACACTCTAGATTTTATGTATTTTCGATTACCGGTAATTCTGTGATTGTTTTTATGTGTAATACAGTACTGTACTTCATTACTACATCAAGTGGTACTTAGGGTGACGCAGGGGGTGTCAACAGGTCACCCCTTGTTGATGTTATGATGATGTGTAGCGTTTGTTTTTCAGCCCCAAAGCAGCATGACAAACATTCCATTAAATATTCCAGTTTAATAAATATTTACTGAATTATTATTATTATTATTATTATTATTATTATTATTATTATTATTATTATTATTATTATTATTATTATTATTATTATTATTATTATTATTATTATTATTATTATTATTATTATTACTACAGGTATTAGAAGCTGTAGAGCAACATTTAAGCCAGTGGTATGTCCCTCATGTGTTAATTACAGGTATAACATTACATACACACAGCTGTCCCCTAACACATGGCCACACAAAATTCAAAGCCTCTGAAAGACAACATAATCTAGTCCTTATGCCCTTCTTACACACAAACCTGAAGAGAGAACAGCCTCATTATCTCCCTCACTCTACAACAGGTGACTTCATTACCTCTCGTGATTTCACCTTCTCCAGGTATAAATGATAATTATGTGATGGTCTTACCTTCTCTGACTCTGGACAATCTCCATGTAGTCCATAGACCGAGCGTAGAAGCCGTCGTTAGTGATGGCGCCCCAGAAGTTACTCCAAGCCTTATAGGGTCGAATCATCATAGGTGCCACTACCTCCCTGCAGAAGAGGAAGATGCTTAGAGAAACACTTCATTTAAATGGAGAAAAGTGATACTGCTTTGGCTATTATTGTACAACCATAGTCTCAAGGTTAGCACTGTGAGATTGAAGCGATTAGTCACACAGAACATATTACATAGTTGTTAATAATAAGGATACAGACAGAGGTGTAAATGACCAATTAGCGTTTATTCTTGGAGGACAGCCATTTAATATAACAATCAATCTCTAAAATAATGTGTACCTGTATTATAGATGTATATTTCTCACTACTTATTCAATACAACTGGTTGGATATCTTTTTAATATATCAGGAAATTTGTGGGATATTTTTTGTATATGATTTACTGGCATATATTTTTGGATATTGTTCTTTTATTCGTATCATATTTTGACTCACCTGTTCTGTTCAATGAGGAGTTTAACTATGAAGGGATTGTCCAGGTGAGCCTCAGAGTCGACCATTAAGAGGTAAGCACAGCCTCTCTCTATACAGTAGTCGCTGAGGAAGATGGGAGAGAGAGGAATGATGTTTAGTGAGACATATCTCTATTAATAGTAGTGATAGGAGTAGAGTACTATTAGTAATTAAATAATAGCATGGTACTATCTCTAATATGAGTGAAAAGGCTTAACAAAAACACTGGGTAATCATGAAACAAAAGACATTGTTTAAACACGCAAAAAAATATAGTAATGGTGAAATAGAATAATTTTTTTATATCGTTAAGTGATGAAGTTGATGACGTACACGGCGGTGTTTCGGGCGTGCCATTCCTTCACTTTCTCCTCCCGCTTGATGTACTTGACCGAGGCAAACTCCTCCCCGACTACCTCTATCCAGCCATTGATCATCTCTTCATGGTATTCTTCCTGTAAGGGTAATTTACATCTTGTTCATGGGTACTGCTGATGTAGGGAGTAATTGTTTATGTTTCATCATTACATCCAAGGGTTAAGTCACCACACTGCAAGGATTAAGTCATTGTGTTCAAGTTTATGTCATAGTCAAAGATTAGTCAATGGGTTAAGTTATCACACTCTAGGTGTTTCGGCATCGTGCCCAAGGAAGTAAGATATCGTATCAAAAAATCTTTTCTCTGTAAAATCCCAGACAAATTAACCTATACAGCACAACTAATCTCTGAAATAATTATTTGTTACCAAGTCTCTCAGAATAGTTGTGGTTAATGAAGGTACAGTATGGTACACAAGCGATTGTGCTTGTAAATTTAGTTTTCCCAATTTTTACAAGTTCAGTTATGAAGATGCAACCAACATGTTTGGAGCAAGGAAGGTCAGCTTGAAAAACCAACTTACTACATTGTGGACAAAGAGATCTATCCTGGAGGTGGGGTATAACAAGCTGTTGATCTTATCGAGGAACTCCTCCATGAAAGGTGTGGCTTTCTCAACAAACACAGCCAAGGTCACCTTGGGCAGTTCCTCCTCCTTCTTGTCCTCTAATGAGAGCATGTCGTCCCAGCAGGACCTGAGGGATACATTATGAATATACAGCTGCCCAGGGACTAAAACAATTAGTATGACTATTTTGGTAACACATATTTTGGGCTTAATATTGTATCTATAATAATGACTCTTTTCTGATTCTTTTATCAATATCACTTATCTATCTACTATAACATGAATGTGAAATAAACTTATAAGAGGGAATTCTGAAGCCATCTGTAAGGTCTATTTTTGAGGCAAGGTTGTTCAAGTAATGTAACACAGTTGCTTAATCAATCCTGCCCTCAGTGGCTGTGGTCCACGTGGCTCTGGTGCCCCTACTGTACCTGCACCCATCCTCAGGATTCCAGGAACGAGCCAGGTAGGACCCCAGAGTGTGGAGAACGAGGTTGGTGTGACCATTACCCCGAATCACTACAGGCACAGTGTTGTACAGAGTGTTCTGTAGGTAGGCTTCCTTCCCTGCAAACCGCAGCTCCACGTCACCTGCAAGAGGGGGAACTTGGATGAAAAGTATGTATATACTATACGGTAAAGGACTGTAAGGAGTCTATATACAGTACTCAATACATAAGGCTGTGTAGGGCTAAGCTGGTTACATTCTACAGTACAGGGATCATTATGGATGGCAAAGTTTAACACTAAAATCTACATGAGGATATGAGTGCTGGTGTTTCTACTTCATGTTGTAACCTTTTCTTAATGCTCCCTACACTTGGCTTGCAACACTCTCACTGTTTTTGTTTGCTTAAAAGTTTCAATATCTCTCGATCCTTTCCACACAAAAAATAAAAATATAGAGGAATAATGTTATACAAAGTAAGTACAATACTTGTAGGGCCTCTTACATACCTGTGGCACCATTCAGGTTCTGGAAGAGGGTAGAGAGGTGGTCCAGCTTGAGGTTGTACTTGTTCCTGGTGGCGTCCTTTACGTAGGCAAGTGTGAGCAGCAGCTGTAGTGATGCCTCCTCTGAGGACTGTGACAGAAGCTTGTGAATGGTTCCCACACGACCCACAAAACCTGCAATATATTTCTCACTTATAATCTTCCATACTTCCCCAAATCTGCCAAATTACCTCCGGGATAATGATGACTTGTTATACCTAGTTTCACACCTGTTAAATTAATACTTGTCCTTAAAATATGTCCGTGTAACTCTAATATTCCTTTATTACATCATGAAACCAGACAGATTATTCCTATGTTAATCGTTGCACAATAAAACCTGACAACTTACCTCTGAGCTACTTACTGAGACAAGCTGTTGGATACGTGGGAGAGATACAGATATAATCCTGCTTAATGAGGAAATGTGAAGCACAGAAACACATCATACAAAACAGGGTATTAAAGACAGTGTGTATGTACTGTACGTCTGTTCGTGTCCAACATGCAGTACAACATTGGTGTCTCTAAGCCTGACCAACTCCAGTCTCTAGGAACATGTGGTGACTGCAGGGAGAGAGGGAGGGAAGGAGGGATAGTGAGAGGGAGGGAGAGGTGTGGGAAGGGGGATGCCAGAGAAGCCAAACACAGTCACACTTAGACACATACCAGGATTAAACTCTAAATATTGCTGCTTCCTGCCTCCAACACTCACACACCAGACACTCCTCTAACTCCTCTTGTTGTTATCCAAATTTGGAGTGATACCTGTCGTCGGAGGTGACAGACAGACGGTGTTCTTATGTTTTGTAGAAGTGCACGAATGTCTGTCTGCTGGCTTCACTCTAAAGTACCTGGACATTAATATTTCTTATCTTTACTCAATCATTAGTTAACACCCCGGAATGTATTGTTTTTCAGCTTTATTCTAAAATTAGTTAAAAATAAGCCAGGATATTTTTATTATCTGACCTATTTTACTGTTTTATATATTCAAATGATTCCAAAGTAAACAAAATAAAAAACTGCCTTGGTGGTATAAACAATATCTAAGAATGAAATTATAAAATTACACAATAGAACAAAAAACAATTACAGAAACTTGACTACAAAATAACATATAGATTATAATTTATATTTTTGTTATACTGTTCTTAGTAGTTATGACGCACCGTTATAGCATAGGTGAAATTACTGTATATAATTTATGGGTTAAAGGTAAATCACTTAAGAGGTATGAACCACAGGGGTCAGCAGAAGCCTTAGTAACACACACACCACTACCACCTGCTATACACACCACACCTGATACACCCTGCTGGCAACACTACACCCTACTGGCAACACTACACCCTACTGGCAACACTACATCCTACTGGCAACACTACACCCTGCTGGCTATACACACCACACCTGATACACCCTGCTGGCAACACTACACCCTACTGGCAACACTACACCCTACTGGCAACACTACATCCTACTGGCAACACTACACCCTGCTGGCAACACTACACCCTACTGGCAACACTACACCCTGCTGGCAACACTACACCCTGCTGGCAACACTACACCCTACTGGCAACACTACACCCTACTGGCAACACTACACCCTACTGGCAACACTACACCCTACTGGCAACACTACACCCTGCTGGCAACACTACACCCCATAACATAAGGCCTCCAGACCCTCGCTGAAGCAGAAAGTAACTAACATTAGCTATGGTAGACGGGCACTCACGAGATACAATGGGAATGAGATCTTTCTGGAACTGGGGATACATTACAAAACAAGACTCACCGCCAGAATTAAGGAACCTCTTGCCTCGGTCCACCTTCGGGAAGTTAGGCTCCATGGTTCTATCTGGCCAACAGAACCCATCGGCGGAGATCAGAACGTCAGCATCCGAAGCTTCGAACTCCTCAATCACTCGAACTGGTCCACCCGAAAACAAGGCATCCTCGCTGTGTGGGGATGAGGAGGAACAGGGGTGAGAGGGACATGGGTAACAGAGAAGGCTTAGAAGTAAACATAATGATCTAGGAGTTAATACAGGGATTCAGAAGTAAGCATAAGAGTCTAGGAGTTACTGTAGAGGGTTCAGAAGTGAGCACGGGGGTCTAATAAGTGGCCACAGTAACACCTCACCTCTCAGTATACAATACGACCCTGTCCTCATCTTGGCTAAGGGAGTCAAATGTGTCCCTCAGCAGCTGGAGGTGTGTCTTCTCATCCACTACCTCCTTCTGGTCTTCTCCCAGGACCTGTGGTGGAGGGAAGAAGTTTATGATGTGGGGTTGAGAATGCAGCATGATGGTGTGTGTGTGTGTGTGTGTGTGTGTGTGTGTGTGTGTGTGTGTGTGTGTGTGTGTGTGTGTGTGTGTGTGTGGATAAATGCATTGATTATGACGCTTTCAGTACACAAAGAGGTAGTTTGGAGGGCACTGTACTCGACCACCTTCACTTCCCCAACTGTAGAGCTATATGCCCATTCACTGCTGGGTGCACTGGGATGTTTCGAGTACAAACCAGTTACTCTTAAGACAGGAGGTGAGAGCTCTATCCACTCAGCCACCACATTCCTATGAGGCCTAGTTAAAATATTATCATCATTCCTATTATTATCATCACAGTAATTACTATTAATATCATAAAGGATTAATATCACTAATTAAGACTATCATTACCAATATATTAACATATTTCTTTCAACTAATTCGACGACCTCCTCACCTTAACTTTGTATCCGTAGACTTTGGTGGATCTGAGGAAGCGCTTGAAGCCATCACTGCCAGGCCGCTTCACCGTCAACACCAACAAATCTGTCAACAAGGTCTTCAAGTTAGGACAGGTCACGGAACACATCTACCATGGTTAGTTAAACTGACCTGACCTTAGTACTAGTGTAGCCTAACCATCAGGCTTTTGGGATCTAATAAAACTGAGAATAATTGGGACGTTATAGGATTGAGTCGTTTGGGTTTAGGGTCAATTAGAGTTTGGGTTCATTTAAAACAAATAGAAAACATTTAACACCGAAAATGGATAATGCCTAAGAGGTAAACAAGGAAAGTGGTTTATTTATTTACACTGGGATATATAAACAAAACTCCAAATGTCAACAAAAATCAGCTGTTGACCAGGAATCAGTTGGGATACACAAACAAAGCTCCGGGACGCCATCCGGGACTAGCATCTTTACTCTCAAGGTGTTAGACGCTGGAGAAAGCTGCGTTGGAGACATGATTTACAGCATCCACGTATTATAGTTAAGTCATGGCCAACCTGTCGACTTCTTTCCCTTCCTCCCTCACTCTCACCGTGCCTCCTTCTCTCCTTCCCTCCCTCCCTCCCTCCATCTCACTACTTTCCTCCCTTTCTCCCTCCCTCCTTTCCTTTCATTACCCCCTTCTTTCCTTCCCTCCCTCCCTAGACTTCCCTACTTTCTTCTCTCCTATTCCTTTAGTTTCCTCACCCCTTCCCCTCCCTCCTTCCCCCTGCTCTCCCTTCCTCCCTCCTTCCCTCCATCACAGGTATATTTGGGTCAGACATACAGTTAACCTTAGGTGTGTGTGTGCGTGTGTGTGTGTGTGTCTATGTGTGTGTGTGTGTGTGTGTGTGTATACCTTCTGTGACAGTATGAGAGAGAGAGGTGAGAAGGAAAGTGAGGGAGATGAGAACGGAAGTGAGAGAGGTAAAAGGTGCCTCATCTGACCGCAAGTGACCGCAACCTCATTCCTTACTTCTCTGCCCACAGTTAACCGCAACCAATACCGCCCACAATAAGTGCATCCTCCTACAAGCAACCGCATCTAGTAGCACCTACAAAAATGCATCTGACCGCAACGAACTGCAACCAGCACCGCCCACAATTACTGCATCTAACATTCACAACAACCACAACCACAGCCTGTTCGTGGTCATGGTGGGGTTACCACATGCCTGGAATGCCGCAAGCGTGTACCTGCGGTTTAGGCGCGGCTGAATTAATAGGTCACTTGGTCAGGCGGGTGGTGCGGGTGGGTACTGCTGCTGGGGCCCAGGGTTCAAAATTTGGGTGTCTGTCTGTCTGTCTCTCATTTTGTTTTGTGTTGTGTAGGAGAGAGAGAGAGAGAGAGAGAGAGAGAGAGAGAGAGAAATAGCTTCTGAACCCATGTGTGTGTGAGGGAATGGTGATGGTAATCATAATAATAATAATAATAATGTTAAATATTCGCCATAACACAGGTACACAACTCCATCTATTGAATAAAACCCATACTAGCCAGTCAGTCGGCCAATCCCAGAGCCTCGCGGGAATGTTCAGCTAATCAGGGGCCAGTGAGTCAGAGTGTCGTCTCTCCAAAACAGTAAACTGTGGGGGAATTGTTTGGGGTTGTCTGCTTGTGCCTAGTCAAAGTGTTGGGTTACTCAAGCCGGAACAGAAGTGATGAACGCTGGGAGGGTGAGTAGAGTGGTCACAGGACTTCCTTCCCTCAGCCAAAGCTCATCGGTAAGAGAACCCTTCACTTTTATTCCTGATTTGTCTATATTATATTCTGTTATATGTTTATGTTGTGTTGGTTTAGGTACACGTCCATGTTGATTGTTGAGGTGTTATGTTAATAGTCAGGTGTTGTTAATATTGTAGGAATTTTAGCGAAATAATATATGTTGGTATGTTATATGGGAGGACTATACCCAGTACCCACGTCAAGGACCGGGCGTTACATCGGTCCCCTAGAGTCTAGATGACCGATATTACCCGACTTATTCAATCGTGGGGACTCGCGGAGGTCAGCAGACCAGAGTCAACCGGATCCCAGTTCAGGGGCGACTTGAGTCTAACCCCATCCCTTGAGTATACTGTTCAGGGGAGCTGGACCTACTGACAGACTCGTCGGCAGAGCTGTTGTGTTGTACCTGATGGGCGGGTGGGCGGCCGGATGGGTGGGTGGAAGGGTGGGTAGCGGTACACTAACCGAAAACCTGTCTTACTTTCCCTGCAAAAAACTATATATATTCCTGTTGTTTTGTTCTCATTTTTGTCTCGATCTTGTCATGATAAATGGAGGTTTCCGGATCACGACTTTTTTTTAGTAAGGGGGAGTCAGGGAGGAGAAAGGGGGAGGGGGAACGGAAATGGGGTCGGTGGGGAGCAGGGGGAAGGAGGAGAGGGGGAGGGAATAGGGGGACAAGGGTTAAGGGGAAAGGAGGAGAGGATAGGAATGGGGAGGAGGGAAAAGGGGACAAGAATTCCCTTCCCCGGGGCCAAATAACGGAACGGGGCGGGGCGGAAATTACCTTGTCATTCATGTCATTTAAGTTATTGTTATGGTCTTGGGTCGTGAGAGTATACATGTGGTAACGGTAGTCTGTGTCTGCCTGTATACCTGGATGTATATATATGTATGTATGTGTACCGGTATCTTTTTATGTAAGTATATGTATGTATGGATGTAGGTTAGTCATTACAAGACAGGCAGTCATAGGGGTGGAAAAAGATAAACGATGATATAAATTAACAAATAAACAAAATAATTCGAATCTAATCATTTGTTAGGTTAGGTTAGGTTAGGTTAGGTTTAGATTAAGTTAAGTTAGGTTAAGTTAGGTCTGGTTAGTGTTAGAGTAGGGCATTTAATTATCAAGTGAAATAAGCTGGGGTGCCTAATTCTCACCTGATATAAACTCCTTCACACGTAACACTCTTCCTCCTCCAACCACACGAGATGGTGACAACAGCTTCTACTTCTTAATTGCTTGTTAAGTATACAGTAGTTCATGATGACAATGGTAATTAGCCAAGGATGGGGTTGTTAAAGAGAGTCAATTGCTGTTATTTTCACCGAGATGATGGGGTGAAGGAGGTAGATATGAGGTTGGTAGTGAAGATGATACGAGATGATTGAAAATAATGGTTTGGTGAGATAGTGATAATATTCAGTGGATCCCGGTCCCCCACGTTCATCCTCCACCAGCAGAAGACAACCACGAGGACAGGTACACCCAACCACGAGGACAGGTACACCCAACCACGAGGACAGGTACACCCAACCACGAGGAGAGGTACACCCAACCACGAGGAGAGGTACACCCAACCACGAGGAGAGGTACACCCAACCACGAGGACAGGTACACCCAACCACGAGGACAGGTACACCCAACCACGAGGACAGGTACACCTAAATCATTTAGGACAGGTACACCCAACCACGAGGACAGGTACACCCAACCACGAGGACAGGTGGCCACCCAACCACGAGGACAGGTACACCCAACCACGAGGACAGGTACACCCAACCACGAGACAGGTACACCCAACCACGAGGACAGGTACACCCAATCACGAGTGAGAGGTACACCCAACCACGAGGACAGGTACACAACCACGAGGGGAGAGGTACACCCAACCACGAGGAGAGGTACACCCAACCACGAGGACAGTACACCCAACCATTGAGGACAGGTACACACCCAACCACGAGGAGAGGTACACTCCAACCATGACAGGTACACCCAACCACGAGGAGAGGTACACCCAACCACGAGGAGAGGTACACCCAACCACGAGGAGGTACACCCAACCACGAGGAGAGGTACACCCAACCACGAGGAGAGGAACACCCAACCACGAGGACAGGTACACCCAACCACGAGGACAGGTACACCCAACCACGAGGACAGGTACACCCAACCACGAGGACAGGTACACCCAACCACGAGGACAGGTACACCCAACCACGAGGACAGGTACACCCAACCACGAGGAGAAGAGAAAGTACCCTGAGACTACCTGGACCTTAATTAACAGGTAAGAGAGAGTGAAGGAGAGGGGGGGTTCCTTCCTTCCTTTCTATAAGTAACACAGTAACTCACCTGATCACCTGAGGAATTTTTTTTACCTGAGTGAGAGGAAGAAAAAATTAGGGTTTATTCTGACCCATTGTTTACATTCTCACAAGGCCAGACACGAGTTGCCAGGTACTATATTTTTGGGGAGTATTTTATCCCTGAGGTAAGATATTGTCCTTTTAATTGTTGTTTTGTTGTTGTTTTTGGTGTTGTTCTTGTTGTTGTTTTTGGTGTTGTTGTTGTTGCTGTTTTTGTTGTTATTGTTTAAGGTGCCGTGGTTGAGTGGCTACATTACTCATCTATTAACTCCTAAGGGTCACTGTATTGCACACACACACACACACACACACACACACACACCTGTACTAAAAAGGGCCATGTAGAAAGTATATACAGTACTTACAGTGATACCTAAGTGGGTTGGGTGGGTTGGGTGGGTGACTGCATTGGGGTATGGAGGGGAAGACGGTGGGTGGGCAGGAGTAGGTTACTAGGTTCCCCAGGTGATTTCCAGGAAGGAGTAGGTTGATAGTCTTCTGACCTACTTACATATAGCATCGCCTTCCCTTACAGTCCCCTCTGGTTATTTCTATCACCCTTCTACCTATTATATCTTAATTTTCTTCAATAAACCACAACTAACTACCTTCATCTTATAATATATCTTCACTACATTACTTTATCTTAGTTGTATATACAAGTGGTAATGATTAAACAACACCCAGACGAGAATTGGTAACTCAACATAACCAAATATGGCTGCCAGTGTTACGATATCTTAGCCCAAAGTGACGAATTTTTGGGCTATAATTTTTCCTCTATGAACAATTATAGGGGTTGGGTACTGGGTGTATTATAGATAACCTAGATAATTTTGTGAGGTTTTTTTTTTATCAGTGGGGTTAGTGTTCTGGCAGTAGGGGTTTCCAGAGTGGTGGGGGAGGGGAAGCCTGGAAAGTGTTGGTTGGTGGTGGAGGGATGAGGTTGG